AATAACTAGGACTCACACTACTTTATTTCTTTTTTTTTTAATTGAACATTTTTTTAAGGTTTATTTTTGAGAGAGAGAGGGACAGAGTGTGAGCGAGGGAGGGGCAGAGAGAGAGGGAGACACAGAATCTGAAGCAGGGTCCAGGCTCTGAGCTGTCAGCACAGAGCCCAACATGGGACTCAAACTCATGAACCATGGGATCATGACCTGAGCTGAAGTCGGACACTTAACCGACTGAGCCACTAGGTGCCCCACTACTTTATTTCAAAGTTAATACTAAGTTACAGAAATTGAGTTAGTTTTGAATTGGCTTATTAATGGAACAGATTAGAGAATGCACCAATATATAGTTAATTAAACTTTGACAAAGTTGGCAAGGTAATTCAATGGTGGAAATGATAGTCTATAAATGGTGCTTACACCATCTATTTTGTGTAAAAAATGAACTCACATCCCTAATTTACACCACATAAAAAATTAATTTGACATGAATCATAGACCTAAAGGTAAAAGCCATAACTATAAAACTTCTGGAGGAAAACATAGGAGAATATTTTTGTGACCTTGGAGTAGACAAAGATTAGACAAGACACAAATAATTCTAATCATTAAAAATTTAAAAAACACCTAAAACCTTAAAAATGTTTTAAAAAATAAAGAGGAGCACCTGGGTGGGTTTGTGGGCTCGAGCCCCGCGTCAGGCTCTGTGCTGATAGCTCAGAGCCTGGAGCCTGTTTTTGGATTTTGTGTCTCCCTCTCTCTCTGCCCCTCCCCTGTTCACGCTCTGTCTCTGTCTCTCTCAAAAATAAATAAACATTAAAAAAATAAAAACAAAGCAACCTAAAAAGTTGGCCGTTGTCAAAACTAAAAACTGCTTTTCAAAGACAACATTAAGAAAACAAAAAACCCATCACAGATTGGAAGAAGATATTAACAACATGTATATCTGAAAAAAGATTTGTTTCCAGAATTATATAAATTCCTACAATTCAATAAGGAAAAGACAAATAGCTCTAGAAAAAAAGTGGACAAAAGACTCAAATAGACACATCATAGAAGATCTATATGAATAGCCAATAAGCATATGAAAATTTACCTACATCAATAGGGATCAGGGAAATGCAATTAAAACTACAATGAGATACCAGTTCATATCTACAAGAATGAATAAAATTTCAAAAAGGGATAATACTAAGTTACTGGCATATAGAACAGCTCGAGTGCTCATACATTGCTGGTGGGATCATGAACCAAAGCAACTATTTTGGAAAGCTGTTTGGCACTTTCTTATGAAATTAAACACCTACTAGCAAACCCACTTCTAGGTATTTACTGAAGGAAAATGAATATATATCCTCAAAAATACTTATACAAGAATGTTTGTACCAGCCTTATTTGCAACTGTCCAAATAGTCATCAACAAGTGAATGGACGTCCGTATAATGGAATGCTAGTCAACAACAAGGACAAGAAAAAAGAAACAAACCTTGGATATGTGCACTAAAGTCAATGAATATCAAAAACCTTATGTTGAGCAAAGGAAGCCATACATACCAAATGATTCAATTTATATGAAGGCAGAAGGAAGCTTTAGCGATAGAAGTTGGATGATTAGTTATCTGGATGGGGGTGGGGATTGACTGTCAAGGGGGATCAAGGACTTCCTAAGGGGAGGAAAATGTTCTATATCTTGATTATGGTAGTTGTCCCACAGGTATATGTGAATCAAAACTCTTACACCTAACCACGCATTTAAAATATGTGCTTTTGGGGCGCCTGGGTGGCGCAGTCGGTTAAGCGTCCGACTTCAGCCAGGTCACGATCTCGCGGTCCGTGAGTTCGAGCCCCGCGTCAGGCTCTGGGCTGATGGCTCAGAGCCTGGAGCCTGTTTCCGATTCTGTGTCTCCCTCTCTCTCTGCCCCTCCCCCGTTCATGCTCTGTCTCTCTCTGTCCCCAAAAAAATAAATAAACGTTGAAAAAAAAAATTTAAAAAAAAAAATAAAATATGTGCTTTTTGGGGTGCCTGGGTGACTCAGTCGGTTAAGTGTCTGACTCTTGGTTTCAGCTCAGGTCATGAAGTCATGGTTAGTGAGTTCAAACCCTGTGTCAAGCTCCATGCTGCCAGTGCAGAGCCTGCTTGGGATTCTCTCTCTCTCCCTCTCTTTCTGCCCTTCCCATGCACTCTCCTCCCCCTCCTCCCAATAAATAAATAAAAATAAAATAAAATAAAATATGTAGTATATGCAAGTTATACTAAAATTATACTATAATCCCAATATTACTGGTGATGAGTTAGTCAGAAGTGTTTGCTGATAGCTTGAACAGACAAAGATCCCGGCCTCACCACCATACACAGATGAATTATGTTCTCCTTAGGTTGGAGATAGTTGTAAAGGGTAACCTACTTTCTCTTTTACCACAAAGTACTAGAATAATGGTAGATTAAGAAACACTTTCTATTCTTAAAAAAAATCAAACAAAAAAGTATGCACCTCCCACACACAAACCACAAAAACACGCAAAACACAAACCTCCTCCAATAACCTGTTCAATGACAATTTTCTCACTGTAGCAGAACATTCTGCTTCAGGTTTAACTTAAATCCAGCAAGTTGCATTGCACTAATTTCTACTTTTGTTCTTTGGTAAACGGAAGCTTTCCCAGGGCTGGCCAGGAATTTCTTCTCTTACAGTACAAAATTATCTTTCTTGGGTAGTGTTTTAAGGCTGGAGACGTTTGTAATTGTGCAGGTAGCCCCTGGTCCAGCTGCCTTACAATACTCTCCTGCAACTCAGCTTAATTATGTCTTTGAGATTTTTATTTTTAAAGATCTTATTTTTAAGTAATCTCTACACCCAAAATGGGGCTCAAACTCACAATCCTGAGACCAAGAGTTGCATGCTCCACTGACTGAGCCAGGCAGGCGCCCCCAGCATTGAGATTCTTGAAAAATTGGCAGGACAGTCTTGGGATCGATGATCTTGGTGTACTCCCAGGTGCCTTGAATAAATTGACATTGCCTTTCCTTTCCTTCCATAACAGGAAATGCTGAAGGATGAGGTGCGGACACTCACCTACCGGAACTCCATGTATCACAACAAGCATGTGTTCAAGGACAAAGTGGTGCTGGACGTTGGGAGTGGTACCGGGATCCTTTCCATGTTTGCTGCCAAAGCAGGGGCCAAGAAGGTGTTTGGGGTGAGCATGCCACACCCTCTCTCCTGTTGGCTTCTGTAGAGATAGCCCTTGCCTCCCACCTTCTCCTGCCCTCCCTACAAGTACAAGCCCAGGTCCACCCCTTGCTGGGGCCACATCCTTGAAGAGGAGTAGAGAAAAATCGAGTGTGACTCTCAGGAGGTGTGGCAAGATCCCATGACTCCCTATCATCCAGGCATTGCTCCTGGCCCCTTGCCCTGACAAATGCTGACATTTACAGAGGATTTTTGACTTTCTGAAAATCATTCTGGTGTTATCATTACCTTAGAGAACTTAGTCCTAGCATCAGCTTGAAAAGCAGCGCCGTGTGATTATACATGTGAGCTTTGCCTTGAATCTCTGCCTTTACAGTCATGAGATGTGTGACCATGGACAATTCACTTCTGTACCTCAGTTTCCCCATCTATTAAATGGTCATAATAACAACACCTTGCTCATGGGGTGATTGTGAAGAAGAAGTTGAGTTTAATACATATGTAAAGTGCTTTAGAACAGGGCTTAGCATATGACCAACACTCAGTGTTTGATATTAATATAGTTAGGATAAGGCCCTAGCGGATAACAAGACAATCTCCTTTCTTTGTTCTTTGAAGGGCAAGTTGGTAGGTTTAAATTCTGCTCTGGTCACTGAGGTCTTCCAGATAGAAATGGAGGCTGACTCTCTGGGAAGCTTCCCAGCCTTCCTCTGGCTGCCACCACACAGTTGCACATGGACTGATGACAGGGAGGCTGAGGGTCTGGACCTGGGAAGAAACTGTGAAAAAGAAGAGCTCTGCACAGCTGGCTGATGTGTGAAAAATGCAGTGGGTCCAAGGCTGGAATATGAAAATTAATCTTGGTCCAAATTAAAGACACGCTACAGTCAAACTCCCAGCACATGCACAAGATAGCTGTTTGCAGAGGCCCGTGGGAGCTGAGCAGCTTTTAGTAGGGCTTTGTTCTCTGTGCTTTTAGCTGGTTGTCCTGCAGCCTGTGCTGACAACTCCAGGCCCCCAGGTTGACCAGAGCCCTCCAAAACCCCTTGCCACCCACCCCTACTTGGCCTCAGAGGCCGGCCCCTGAGTCCCCCAGCAGGGACAGCATTCCCCCTCGGCACCTGACTTGGACAGTGCCTGGGCTGCAGAGGGTCTTCTAGAAACCCGGGACATCCTCAAGGCATCTCTGCCACAGACCGAACTGGAAAAGCCATGATGTATTCAGCTGAGACACTTGTGATGAGGTGGGCCAATCTGGGTGCCTCAGGTCAAGTGCTGCCCTTCCCTACCTTCCAGCTTTCCTTCACTGGGCTCTCCTCACCAGGAGGGAGGCTTTCCAGAAATGGACAGACTCCACTTCCTGTGATCACACAGCCTGGGGGTGGGGCTTGATTCATCTAGCCATGCTCCTGCTTTCCCTGCCAGCCTTGTCTCTGAGGCCTCGTCCTGGTCTGGGACGCGGGTAGCTGAGGGCTGAGCAGGGAAAGGGTAGGGCTGCCCCTCACTGGCTTCCAAGCGGCCAGCAGCTCCAGCTAAGGAGCTGTCAGGAGACATCCACTCAGCGCCTTCCAGCTGTGGTGACTATCCCAACTGTCCCAATCCGTCTGCCCCCTGATCTGTTGCTGTCACAGCCTTTATAAACAACTCCCACATGTAGCTGGACCTCTTTCCTGATGGCTCATTTCACAGTCTCTCCTGATCCAGGCTCCCCCTCTGCCCACTGCTCTTCTCCAGAGAGAGGGAGAGAAGGAGAGAGGGAGAAGGAGAGAGAAATAAGAGGGAGAGGGAGAGAGAGAAGGAGAGAAAGATGGAGAGGGGGCAGGAGAAGGGGGAGGGGGAGGGGGAAGAGAGGGAGAGAGAAATAGAAGGAGGGAGAGGGAAAGAAAGGAGAGAAAGAGGTAGGGGGGAGGAGGGAGAGAGAGAGAGAGAGAGGGAGAGAGAGAGAGAGAGAAGAACAGGGGAAAGGAAAGCAGGGGGCAGAAGACAGGAAAAGAGGAAGGAGGACTGTGAAGCTGCCAAGGTCCTGGGGCCTGGGGCTGTCAGTGCTCTCAATTGTTCGCATGCTTTGGCTTATTTAATCCTCATGATGACCACATTAAACAGGGACTGTTTCCTCACTTATGAGGGAACTGAGGCCTAGTTAGAGAGTGGCCAAGGCCTGATGTGAATCCAGGCCTCCTGCCTCCAGAATATGTGTTCTTCACCACGAAACCGCACAGCCTCTTGCAGATGGATGCCAACGTGGCAAGGAGGGGGAAAGAATTGGAGAGAAACACAGTCCCACAGAAAGTGGGATCAAAGGCCACAGGACCTCTTAGTCCAGGAAAGGGCCCATCCTCTTGGGCTCTGAGCCTGGCCTAGGTCTATCTTCTCTGACAAAGCAACCCCTACTTGATCCTGCAGGTGCCCTCATCCATCCCCAAGGCTTTTATGGAGGCTGTGGGCCAGCCCCTCAGTCCTCCTATGCAAATACTCTCTCCTCTGGTTCCAGCATCCCCTGGCTGTCTCCTGACACATGCCCCAGGTGTGGACCTGATCTCCCGCTCTTCCCATAAGGTCCTGCTCTCAGCTGATACTTGGCTAATTTTTCACATATCTTGGCCCTTTACTTAGGAGATTTGGGGAGACTGCAAATACTTGTAGATTAAAAGGAATTAACCATCTCAAAGGTGAACACTGCAGAAAGGGTAAGAATTGACTTGTGCATGACGTGTGTGGCAGGACGGATCTCAAGACTGGTCCTGAGGCCCTGACATGGCATTTTCCTGTTGGTCCCTATCCTGGAATGTGCCCAGTTCAGCAGGGAGGTTGGGAGGGAGTGGGTAGAGTACAGCAGCTAAGCAACCTCATCCCATTCTCCTCTGGCTAGGAGGAGACCTGCCAGGTCTTACTGAATCTCCCAAGTTGGACGCCAGGTCTTCCATTGTGGAGCAGCGGATTGAAGTCAGCCTCCTTACAGCAAAGGCAGCCAGATTCAATGCAAGAGCCACTGGCCTGAAAATTGGGAGGGATGCACTGTAGTTTTCAGTCTGCTGTATGAAAAAATAGCTGTATGACTGTGGGCGGGTCACTGTACCCATCTAGGCTCAGCTTATTTGTCTGTTAAATAGGAGCTAGACAGGCTGTGATCTTTTTTACACCTTTCTCCTTTGTTCTGTGCCCTTTCTAGATTGAATGTTCCAGTATTTCTGACTACTCAGAGAAGATCATTAAGGCCAACCACTTGGACAACAGTAAGATATACCTCTGTGTGTTTTCCCATGGACAGAGGGAGTGAGGGGGTTTACACTTTCTTGTTTGGGTGGTATAGACTGATGTAAGAGGGAAAAGTACAGAGCACTTGGCCTTGGGAAGGTGGAGCCTGGTGGAGGCTCTATTAGCAGGACTGAACCCACAGGATTCTGAGGTTCCCAATCCCAGCCATGTCAGCCAAGGGCACGTTATTCCCAGCGCAGCTTTCATGGCTCAGCTGCCATGCCTTCTGCTTGGCCCCAGCTGTAGGCATTCTATTGAGTTTTGCAAAATGGCAGCTATTCCTCCTCTTCTTCCCTCTCCACAACCCCATCCCTACCTCTCCCTTTCAGCAAACCAGTGGCATCCTAGCAGACCCCAGGCTCTGCCTTTGGAGAAATGTGGTCCTCTACTGCCCATGGGCTGTCTTGCTGATAATGCTGTCTTGGCAATTAGGCTGCCTTTGGGAGTGGGACCTTCTCCAAGCTGGTGTCTGATTATAAATAGAGGTGCCTTCCCTTCCCTTCCTCCCTTCACTCCTTACCCATGCATTGCAACCTTTCCCAGGCCCCTCTTCCTGGAAAACTATTTTGAACACACTCACACCCACAAGTGTCCCCAATCCAAAGAACTCCTTGCATCTTTTATTAGTCAACTGGATGAGATTTAGCCTCTAGGCCCTGTGCTGAGCTGGGCCATACATAGGGTTTGTAAACTAGGAAAACAAGGTTGACTTTTTTTCCCTAAGGATGATAGAGGCATTTTGGAGACTATTATGCAAAGAAAAGTATTTCCTATGGGGTATGGATTAGAATGTGTTGTAGGCATCAAGAGTGTAAGCAGAGACACATTAGGAGGCTGTTTCAGTGCTCAGGGGACATGCTATGGCATGGACCAGGGTGGTGGCAGTGGAGGTGGAGAAAAGTGATCACTTTGGGCTAGAGGTAAGGGGGTCTACTGATGAGATGCATATGGAAATGATAAAAAAGATATGAGCAAGAGCTATTTTGTTGCCTTGAGTAACTGGGTGGATGGTGGAAGACAGAAAGTAAAGAACTTCTGGGGATGACGGGAGGGAGAAAGAAATCAAGAGTTCTCTTTCGCACATGTCAGGTTTGAGATGGACATCCAGTGGACTTGTTAAGCAAGAGTAAATTTATGAGTTTATATTTCAGGGAGATCCAGCACATGGGATTTGGGAGTCTTCAGCATATGGATGTTATTTGAAGCCACAAGATGATGTCACGTAGGCTTAAAGTATAGCTGGAGGAAGAAATGGACCAAAGATAGGGCTCTGGGGCATTTCAACGTTTGGACGCCAGTCAGAGGAGAAAGGGCCAGTAAGAGACAGAGAAGATACACCCAGTGAGGCTGATGGACATTCAAGAGAGAAAGATGCACCATGAAGCCAAGGGAAGGAGGAAGGAGTGACTATAGGGAATGCTCAGAGATCAAGTAAGGGAAGAACAGAGAAGTGACCATTGCATTTGGCCACATGGAGGCCATACGTGTTCTAAACAAGAGCAGACTCAATGCTGGGGTGGGGACTGAAGTTCAGTTAGAGTAGGATAAATTGTGGAGGGAGGGCTATAAATAAGTCTTGCTGTGCCGGGGAGCAGGAGAACGGAACTGTAGCTACAGGTGAATGTGGGGCCAAGGCAGGTAGTTGTTTTTAAGGGCAGGAGATATGAAAACATGTGTGTCTGATTCAGTTGTCCAGTAGACAGGCACATACAGGAAAAAGAAAAGTCAGTCATGAGGCCCTTGGGTCCAGAACACAGGTATAGGGGTTGGTCTTTCCCTTGGAGTAGGGACAGTTTAACCACAGAAACAGATGGAGACTGAGGAGTGTGGCTCCAGATAGAGGTGGGCTGCTGGTGGAAAGCCCCCAGTTTGTTGCTTCCATTTTCTTTTCAAAGAATGAGACAGTGATTGGCAGAGAAGAGGGGGATGAGAAAAGATGTGGGAAACGATGGAATGGTCTTTCAGAAGGAGGGAGGGAGGCAAATATGCTGGACTGGTGGGGATTGCTGGAGATGAATCAGCATAGATATGCAATAAGCTCAGTCCTTGTGTGAGTTTCTCCTTACCACGCTCACCAGCTTGGGTGTGAGGAGGGCCGCCTGGGTGGGGGCTTTGATAGTGGGTGGGGGCACACAAGTTCATTTCAATAATGGATCATGGAATTTTAGCTGGGTAAGGCAGGAAGTGAGGAAGGGATGGGGGGTGGTAGGTGAGTGACAATGAAAAAGGTTAGCGGTATTGGGGAGGCCATGAGCAGAGGTCCAGAGGCCTTTTTCCAGCTTGAGTAGAGGACATGTTTCCCTGACCTCTGACTTTGGTGTCCAGTCTCTCCTGGTTCACTTCTGGCAGCCAGCTATCCTGCACACTCCTCAGAACAGTCCCTGACATGGGCAGAAGGGAAAGAGAGGTGAGCTCTCTACTTGCCTACTAAAGATAGGAAAAGAAAATTGGCCAATTCCTTCTCTGCAAGGGTGCAATAGCCTGACATCCATGTGTTTTCATCTGACATCCCTTTCTCCAACTCTGTGACATAGGGCAAGAGGTTTCCCCCATTTAACAGATGGGTAAACTGAGGTAGGAGAGGTAGGGCAGAAATTTGGTCTTGGTTCTTGCTCCTGTACTCTCTCCTGAAGTGTGTTTACATTGATGTGGAAGCCCCAGGAGTGGCTGCCAATCCTGAAAATGAAAATTAAAACCTGTTAGGAGAAGAGGGTGAGGACAAATTGATGTCTGATCAGACACCCTCCCAGTACCACCCCTGGGCTCCAAGGGGCCTTCAAAGGACATTTAGACCATTCCCTGCCTCTGTACAGGTTCAGTTGCACAGTGACGCCTGACCTTGGAGGGACGGTCTGCCTTCCCCATCCCCCTGACTCTTCATCTGTCTCTTGCTACCAATTCTCTTGGGATCTGGAACTATAGCCCCCCAAGCTTGCAAAGGGCAGCTGCTTGCAGCCATTGGTAGCAGTGTGTAGAGTGGGCCTGAGTGAGAGTGGGGGAGAATAGTCCCTGTGAGGAGTGCCTGACTTTGGGAGAAGGGAGGTTTGGGTCTGAAAGTATGCCAGGAAAAAGAAGCCAATAACCCCTCATCATGCCCTCTAATTCACACCTCGAGAGCTTTCCCTCTCTGCCTCTCCTCTGCTTCAGTTTCCTGTAATTTTTTTAAATGTTTGTTTATTTTTGAGAGAGACAGAGACAGAGTGTGAGTGGGGGAGGAGCAGAGAGAGAGGGAGACACAGAATCTGAAGCAGGGTCCAGGCTCTGAGCTGTCAGCACAGAGCCCGACGCGGGGCTTGAACCCACGACGAACAGTGAGATCATGACCTGAGCCAAAGTGGGACACTTAACTGACTGAGCCACCCAGGCACCCCCTGTAATTTGGTTTATTTCCCTTCCTATCTTTATCACTTCTTTCCTTTAACCTTCAAAACATTCCAATATATAGACAAGGTACAACTTTTTTTTTTTTTCCTGAACACTTTGAGAGCAAGTTGTTGACATGATGCCCCATCAGCCCCAAATACATGCATATGCGTGTCATACAAACAGGGACATTTCCCTGCATAGCCACACTGTGACCATCAAAATCAGGAGACTAACGTTCTTCCATGATCATTAGCTAGCGCTCAGATCCCGCTTATGTCTGCCACTTGTTGAAATAACATCCCTTAGAGTAAAAGGAATCACCTTCTTAAAAAAATTTTTTTAACGTTTATTTTTGAGAGACAGAGAGAGAGAGAAAGAAAGTGAGCAGGGGAGGGACAGAGAGAGGGAGACACAGAATCTGAAGCAGGCTCCAGGCTCCAAGCTGTCAGCACAGAGTCTGACGCAGGGCTTGAACTCATGAACCGTGAGATCATGTCCTGAGCTGAAGTCAGACACTGAACTAACTGAGCCACCCAGGCGCTCCTAAAAGGACTCAGTTTCAAACCACATGTTGCATTTAGTTGCCACATCTCTGGTTTCCTTTAGCCTGGAGTGGCCAGATGCTCTTCAACTCTTGTTGCCTTGATGCTTGACGATTGCAGGCTAGAGTTCTGTAGAATGTCCCTCAGTTGGGGGCATGTGATGCTTCTGCAAGATTGGGTTCAGATCGTGCCTCCTGGCAGGAGTTCACGGAGATGCTGTGTCCTTTTTCCTGCATGCTCTTGGGGACATGCAGTTTTGATTTGTCCTGTTACCGACAGCATTTGCTTTGATCACTGCTTCTGGTGATGTCTGCCAGGCTTCTCCATGGTCAAGTTGCTCTTTCTCCCTTTGTAATTAGTAAGATTTTCTGGGTGAAGTGGTTTGAAACCATGTAAATATTTCATTCCTCATCCTTAATTTCCTATTTTATTCAATAGGTTACATCTATTATTAAAGGTACTTATTTTGATACACAAATTGTTCCTAATTTGGTCATGGGAGCACCTTTAAGCTGGCTTCTGTGTCCTTTTGACATTCCTTTTTTATTTTTTGTGAGCTTTCTTATTTTCTGGCACTAACATTCCAGTCTCATCTTGTGCTTTCCACGGCTTTGTTTTAGAATCAGCTGTTTCTCCAAGGAGTCATGAGTCCATTTACTGGACAATGGCATTTAGAAACTAGAATCTGGGGCTAAATGTGCTCATTGATTTTAGGGTGTTGAGGCCCCCAGGCTGCTTCAGTAGAAAGAACTAGAGAATGTGTGTGTGTGTGTGTGTGTGTGTGTGTGTGTGTGTGTTTACATACACATTTACATAACGTGTACTTCTGAATCTATCTATACATACTGTCAAGTGTAAGTCCATGTGCTACCCCACCTCCTGCTCTAACCAGCACTGCAGGGTCCTCTAACTTTCTCTCTTCCCATGTTTGCAATTCCTTTCTCTGACAGTGAAAAACCTGGCTCCTACTATTCTTCTTTTTTTTTTAAGGTTTATGTATTTTTGAGATAGAGATAGAGATAGAGAGCAACCATGCAAGCGGGGGAGGTGCAGAGAAAAGGGAACAGAGG